TATATATATATATGCTAACACTTGTACTATTCATGTTCACTGAAACTAGCTGCCTTTCACCTAACATGTGACATTATATTTTACCATGATGGCATTAACAAGTTTTTTCCTCAATGAGACAGATCACTCAGCAGCCCTAGTGTCCAGTTTATGTGTGGGAGATTGTAACTTCAAAACCCCACTTTATAGTCTAGATTAGGTGGACCTGGGATAGGCAGTCAGTATATTGACAGGACATGGGCTGGATGACTGAGGAATTGTGATGCAATTCTTGTCAGAGGCAGATTTTTCTTCTCCACAGCATCCAGACCATGTCTGAGGGCCACCCAGCCTCCGACCCAATTGGCACCTGGTACTCTTTCCCCATGGTAAAGTTGCTAGGGCATGAAACTGACCACTCACTTTGACTTAGTGCTGAGGATAAGAATGAGTGGAGCTACGCCTCACATTCCCATTAATCTTCACAGTGTGATAAAAAAGGAAAAATGTACCTATGCTCAACGAATTAAGCACTAAGCCATGAAGACGTATGGTGGAGTGGATGTATAGATCCATATTTTCTTGACCTCGGCACTAGTTGGATGTGAGTGGTCAGCTCCATGCCCTGGCCGCCTTACCCCCAGTACCCATTTCATAGGAGGTTGGGTGAACCCCAGAGCTGGTCTGGAAGATTTGGAGAACAGAAAATTCTTGACCCTACCAGGACTTGAACTCTGACCCCTGTCGTCCAGCCAGTAGCCAGTTGCCAGTTGCTATCCCGGCACCTATTCATGGTGTGATGCATAATGAATTATACATATGGACAACTGTACCTAACCTTGCACCGATTTATGTATTAACAGGTGAAACAAATAAGTACAGCCGCTCCGTCGAGCAAACCTGCATCCCAAGCGGCTTCTCTGATTCCCACTGCAATGATGATTCTTGATTCAAGCTCAAATAAGAGCGTAGAGCCATTGTTCATGGCAATTGCTGGCTTTGTTGGAATGGCACTCATGTTTGCTGTCTCCGTTTTATTCCTACCAAAATTTGGAAACCTTCGATCCAGAGGAATATCAGCTCTTAAACATGTTCCTGATGAACTCGCAACACTTACCAAATTAGTTTTAGATGGCATTGATGGCAAAGATTGTACTGAGAGGATTGCCTGTGAAGTGGGGCATGCTGTTCGAAGAATGCAACTGGACAAGAAGCCAATAAGGTGAGTGACCATTTATTATTTTTTCCATTATCTTCTTCCTACATTTCTTATATATTTTAGGTTTTCTATGTTTCATGACAGATGTGTAACTAGAAGTAACTATGTAAAATCTGAAATATCCATGCTGAATAAATGCAGTGAACCTTTATCAGAGGCTTATTACATGTTACTGATGATGACGTCTCCAAAATGTCATGTTCTTACTCCATACTGATGTAGGTGATCATCTGAGAAGACTTTACTGCAGTTATAAGAAATTTGTGAATGATTTGAAGCTTTCATGGCAAATAAATGTACTAAAATTTCCTTGGGCGAACAGCTGTGTCGACGTTGAATTAAGAACCAATGTTTCACAGATTTTACTGGTCTTCATTATCAGAGTCGATAAATATCAGCAGCCTATGATCACTCCCCACATTGACACTGATGATGGAAACCAAGAATGTCTCTGAAACGTTAGTTTTTAATCCATGATATGTAAGCAGTGTCCGTCTTTTAGTGCACTCAATTTCACTTGTTATTTCACAACATGTTTCGGCACTATAGTGCCATCATCAGGTGCTCCATTTACATTAATCTATTTCATTGCTTGCCATTATGTCACTGTAAATTTTAAAAAGTATTTAAAAATGTTCGTCAATTATAATAAATATTTATNTGTCACTGTAAAATTTAAAAAGCATTTAAAAATGTTCGTCAATTATAATAAATACATATACTAAAAACTTTTTAAGACTATTTATCTTATCTGTCCCAATTCTAACACCGTGCATAGTTTCACCACTATAGGAGTCGTTCCTCTTATTCTCAGGGTATATCGTGTCTCGTGTTGCATGTTCCCTGTTTGGTTGCGGGTGTTGTAATGTTGTGAAGCAACAAGTAAAATTGAATGCGCTAAAAGACGGANGAAGATTTTAGTGCATGTAAGAAACTTATCTTTAAACATTCAAAAGCAGTAAAGCGCTAATACACAAACCCTATGTCATAATTACAAATGAAAAGTGAAATAAAACCATAGGATTTAACAAATCTCATGCTTTCAGTGACTGTAGACGGACTTTGATTGCTGTTATTGCATCCTGCTTTGGGCAGCACAGCATAATTACTTTAATTATTTTAACTATTCAGTTTTAATACTAGTCTTCATCATTAGTATCAATTACATCAACCCTTCAATAAGTCTCTAGGGCACCTTTAATACTTGGTACCCCAGATATAGCTTTTCCCCAAATAAATAACTACTACCCCCATCACTAACATTATTATTAACAAGAAGTACTGCAAGGAAGGCTTAAGGGAAGTATTTCCTTCATCATTGTTGGTTTGCATCTTGAAGTTGGCCACTTTCAAATGAAACATGTAAGGCAGCAAAATATATTATCTGTTTATTAAATATTGTCATATATTATGGAATTTTAGTCTCCATGCATCACATGTAATACATGGAAACTATGCATGAACCATTATTATATACTGAATAATTAATAAATGACTCCTGTTTTGTATGGTACTGATTCATGAAGAAATGAATCGTTGCAATTCACTTAACACATATTTTTAAGGAAATGCATATTACATTCACTAAAAGTATTAGTTTTCATTTCATTATTCCAATCATATTTAAAAAGTTCTGTTTGAAAAGATTTGTTTACTTTCATAAAATTAAACTGTTCTACTTATGATTTCCAGCCCAAATTTTATATGGATGAACAACCCGAAAACAGGTGAAAAGAGGTGGGATGCCATATGTAGGGATTAAGTTTGTTGAATGCATTACTTGGCACTTCCTGTTGATTTTAGCAAGTGGTTTGCTATATTCTATTCAACATTAGAGTCCTATTGTGATGAAGTGTACAGAATTCCTGTAGTTAAAATTTCATTTTCAATCAGTGTATTAATAGCCTGTGATTCAAAATGAAAATTTTTCATGCTTGATTAGGATGCATTCTGTTATAAAAATATGTCAGCATTGTGAAACCACTATACAAATTTCAGTCTTTCAAACTTCACTTAAAAATTAGCAGTTTTTAATGGGAAGCAATTGGTATATTAACAGTTTATGACTACTGACAAAAATGTTCACAATTCATCAGAATTCACTGTTTTAAAAATATATGACACCAGTACACATATTTCAATCATTCTAACTCCACTTTGGAAGCAGCAATATTAGTGGATGGATTATGGCCAAGAGAAGGAAACCACAAAAAGAAAATATAACAGAAAATAGTAACTGAATTAATACACAGCTGAAGTAGGTAAGAAAATAAGTAATAACATAAATTAATAAAGAAATAAAAAATACATATATGATATGATAACATAAGCTAGTTGGTTGCTTAGTAAAAGGAGTATTTAAGTAGTCTATTAATCAATAATTATATAAATCTTTGGCAGCCAATCTGTTGTGTGGTAATATAAGATAATATTAAATTTTGTTTTAAGAAATAGGTTGCGGTCATGTGAAATGGAGACTAATGGCAGGATAATTTCTATTGCTGTGCACTTGTTTTAGTAATTCTGAACCTTTTTGTTCTTAATCAGAGAGTCAGCTGAAGGGAACTGTCATAACTTAATGGACAGATCTCCATGGAGAACAGGCTGTGGGTACTCAGAAACTGGATAAGGTTATGTAAAATCAAATTCATCACTGATACTAATGAACAGGAGCAGATGCTTGTGTACATGATTGTTGTTGCATTTAAAATGCATCAAGATGTTGGAAAAATAGAGTCTGCTTGTGCATCATCTCATCTCAAAACAAAAAATGGTTCTCATTTCAAATGTTAGAATTTGTTTCATTTTGTTTGTTACTTGGGCTCAAAATTAAAATTGGATGGAAATTCTTTGACTTACAGACACATTATAAAATTCCTGATTGTTACTGGGTTTACATTTTGGAACCAAACTTGAGAAAAGAAAATAACTGTAGTGATGTTATCATTTCAGGGTGCTGGAAATTTTGTTGCCCCCTTCCCTGAGCAAGCAGCTTCAACTTATTCGTAAGGCAGCAGCAAAGAAAGAAAAATGCAATTTCATACCATGCAAATGGAAGGGAACTAAGGCAATATAAAACAGCTGTATTTTCACAGTGAGTTTTCTAGACAGTACAGCTGTGAAGCAAACTTGTCTGCTACATGGTTGGCCCAGCTTGATAGCAAGAGTGTCCGACTCATCACCTGAAACTGTGCTCACAAAGAACTCACTGTATATTTAATTATGTGCTTCATCACTGATAGCAAGGATTTCAACTCAGGTGGAAGTTCACAAGTATAACCTTCATACCTCTGTGTTTTCAACATCACTACTCTCCTTCATTATGTTTCTTACAAACTGAAATGAAGTCAGTTCGTTGTATGAACTATAGTTTCATGCAGCATATGCTCAAGTAATTTATTTATTTATTTATTTATTTGATGACGCTGTCAGTAGCTCAGGCTATATAGCAACAAGTGATAAGGTGATCAGTAAAATTACAAAAGGGTAATCAGCTCTGTCCAGTGTGACTGATAAAATGTTTTTTCTTCCTTTCATTTTAATCTTTCATCCTTGACATGTTTCGGTCTTAAAGACCATCTTCAGAAGGATATATCAATACAAGCGAAAACTACTATTACAATGTGTTTGGTCAATATCAATACAGTGTCATCACATTGCCATGAATATAAAATCTGATCCTTTAACAACTGCAGCGGTGTGCATGAATACATTAATATTGTAATGTGTTTACGTTACTGAATAAATTATTACAATTAGTCTGCTTACACGTGTGGTTTAAAACAGATTTTGTTAATATTTTTAGAACTAATTTGGTTCGTGTCCTTTATATTGCTTCTCTTTAAAGGAAATTGAGTGTCTACCACCTCGTGGTTCCATCGTTTGCTGAATAGGACTCTGCAAATATATCTTGGGTATAATGTACTATTTTCATAATCCCGATTTTTTTATTTAAATGTGAGCTTTTTTATTTAATCCTACCCTTAATGTCATCCTGTTGTTTGGGCCGCGCTCTGTAGTTATACTGTTGTAAGGTGTGTTGAGTCGCGTATTTATACCCCTTGTGCCTTATGACGTTTGTGTGGGTGTGTACTGATGTTTAATTATGATGTCAAACATACTATTCCGATTATCACTCTCCTGTATAACTTTTTGTTCTTCTATCAATTTATTATGTTTATTAAAGTGATATATGTAGATTTTATTTTATATTCATTATGTTCCCTTTTTTGGCACGCTCAACCATGCTAAAAATGCTAAAACAAAGGGAACATCATGAACTTAACTTAATAAATTGATAAAAGAACAAAAACTTACAAGGGACAGTGATAACCAGTATAGTATATTCGACATCATAATAAGACATCAGTACCTGCCCACACAAATGTCATAAGGCACAAGGAGTATAAATACATGACTCAAATCACCTTACAACAGTACAAGAAGACAGCGCATCCCGAACAACAGGACGACACTAAAGGTGGGATAAAATAACAAAATCTCACATTTAAATAAAAAATAATCGCGATTATGAAAATAGTACATTATACTAAATATATATTTGCAGAGTCCTGTTCATCAAACGACTGAACCACAAGGTTGGAGCCACTCAACTTCCTTTAAAGAGAAGCAATATAAAGGACACAAAACATACTGGTTCCAAAAATTTAACAAAATCTTTATAAAACCACACATATAAAAAGACTAATTGTATTAATTTATAAACATTTTAATGTATTCATGCATATCGCTGCAGTTGTTAAAGGCTCAGGCTTTATATTAATGGCAATGTGATGATACTGTATGTATGTATTGATATTGACCAAACACATGGTAATAGTAGTTTCTGCCCGTATTGATATATCCTTCTGAAGATGGTCTCTCAGACCGAAACATGTCAAGGATGAAAGATTAAAAAGGAAAGAAAGAAAAAAACATTTTATCAGTCACACTGGACGGAGTTGATTAACCTTTTGTAATATTGCTAGGGTGATGGACCAGAATGAACCAAATCAAGAATTGATCAGCCTTGGGGGATGTAACACCACAAACTTCTACTGAACTACAGAGTGCCACTTTCTAGAAAACAGTACTCTTTACAGTTGGTTCATAATGTCTATCACAGCTACCAGGGTGGGACTGATTAGGTGATCATGACATTGCACTTCTGCAGCAAAAAGCATTTTTTTGATGCAACCCCATAAGAAAAGATCAAGTTCAGCCTTGTAACAGTAGGAAGGTTCTGTTACACTAGAACTGTTCAAAACACTGTAACTCTAAAATACTGGTGAATCGAACAGCTATTTGTTTACATTTTCTGCCCAACAATCTCCTAAAGTTCGGCTACAGAACTTCGAATCGCCCTCTGTAGCAGTGGCTGTACTAATGTACTGATCTGTATTGAAGTGCATGTTTCTTAAGTATATTTTGTTGCATTTAATGTTAATTACATATAAAATATATTTTTATATGATACATTGAATTTACCACATTCCATGCATAATGGGTTAGATTGTGTACAGGGTAATTCTGGGTTGGCAGAGGGTATCTATTTGCACCTTTAATTCATCATGACACTTATGCAGAGGGCTCAAATGGGAAGGAAATGTAACACCATCAATGGGTAGACATTTTGTCTTGTCACTGCTTGCCTTTTTTTTTATCCTGTTGTGTTATAATATAAAGGTATTAGGGCCATCAACAGCCCCAATACCTTGACTGCTTAACTTGCCAATGTGATGATTGTTCATTTGTGTAGCCAACAAAAATTCTGTGATCAGTGTGGTAGTGACTGAAGATTCTGTTTACTAAAATATTTTTGTCTTAAGATATGAATTTTTTACTCTTGCAATGAAGTATACGATTTGATAGTGAGTTTACATAGTTTAATTCTTCACAAGAAAGAAAACTTACAGACTGTGCATTTCGATGTTCACTCATAAATACGTATAAGAATGATTACATAAAGTGGTGTGTACTGAAGCTAGTTAAAAAGAAATGCATCACAGGAGTCTGTAGCAAAAAGAGGAATACTAAGAAGACTGTGCTAACTGAAGAAAACGTTTAAAGCATTCAGTAAATCATTTAAGGTCAGTCCTCGTGTATAATAAAGACATTTGGCATTTTGTTGGGTTCTGAATTCCACAGCTGCTGTTTAACCAATGAGGTTGTCTCAGTGCTCATGCCAGCATGTAAAATACAAAGATATAGAGTAATGAGAATCCTAAGGATATTCAATTAGTGTTGTTATGGAATGTAAAAGTAGAGATGTGATGCACATGGAAACATTTTTCAGCAGATTCAGATAAATATGTGACTGACACACTGAATTCCTTCTTCAACTAACTGGCAGCTGAAGAAATGCATTATGGGTATTTCCAGCAAGACAACCCTTATTTTACCAAAGCTTTCCAAAATGAAATAACATAAGCATAACCACAGCTACTGTTCTCCGCAGCCATTCAACTGCTCTGAAGATGGAGGTGCTACGTTCCTCCGAAACGTCGGCCAGAACGAAGAATACATGGTGCCTAAACCCAGAAGACGACTTTCTTCAACATAAGCACTTGTTTCAATTTCTGAGGATGAGCTTCAGAAGGTTTACAAAACTTGTTTATGCACTATGAGGTATGCTTCCACCGCGGCGGCCTGGGTTCGATCCCAGGGTCTGATCAAGTGGGATTTGTGGTGGACAAAGTGGCGCTGGGACAGATTTTCTCTAAGTACTTCGGTTTCCCCTGCCAATCTTCATTCCACCAAATTCTCCATCATCATAATCACCCGGGGCACGCTACAATAGGCCAATCAGTGGCCACCCTGCCAAGTGGACCCAGTGGGATTCCACCTCCCACTAAATTGAATTAAAAAAAAAATGAGGTATGCTTGGAGACAGAAGAGGGTCATTTTCAGCAATTTGTGGCATCTTTTTACAGCAAATCTTTCTGGAGCTGTGTAAGCAGAGACTGACATGAGTGTCAGACCAGGTGTAGGGGAAAATTCTGCACCACTGACTATATGGTCACACAGTAAACTACCACCATGCTGACATAAGTTGCACCTTTCCATCTCAGTTGACCCCCTGTATTAATGTTACTTTAAACAGTTTAAGAACTCCACCTAAATCATGATATATATTAAATAACATATTTCTTTTTTTTTTCACTTGGTAAATGGATTAACTTACAGAATACACTGGGAGGTAGTATAACATCTTGAATACACAGCATAAAATGGTATTATATAGATAACATTCTACTTCAGACTGTAGAGTTTGTTCACTTGATAATGGTGGTGAAAAAATAAAGAATTTACAATGACTATGATAAGTCTGTAGATACATCATGTTCCACATAAACATTCCTGAGCCCTTTGAACATACTATTCTGTGTGAAGTCTAAGATAAGTGATTGCTGCAAGAAGTTCTATTTTTAAGGTGGGCCATTTAAGTGACAACTAACTCCATGTATGTCAGTCGTCAGTCCTTCTCAAGAAGCTGCCAGTTACTCAGCTTCTCAAGAATATCCCAACATTTTATGGAACCCATAGGTTTATTACCATGCTCACAAGAGCCCTCTCTATTCTGAGCCAGATCAATCCTGTCCATAACACCCCATCCCTATTTCTCAAAGATCCATCTTAATACCATTCTCCCACCTATGTCTAGATCTTCCTAGTGGTCTCCTTCTTTCTGGCTTTCCCACCAACAATCTGTATATTTCCCCCTTCTCTCCCATTTTATGCAAAGACTATTGTTAAAAATTTTAAAAACTGCAGAACCAAATCATAAAAAAAATTTAAAAGCCTAAAAGTAAAATGAAATTTGAATGGCAATACAAAATTCTTAAATAAATTATAAGGAACATTATTAATATAGGGGGATTTTTTTACTTTGTTGGATGATTCCATGGCTCTGTGCTTCAAGATGACTTGTCCACTGCTGGCTGTGAGGCCGATAAAAAATTCTGCCGATGAATCAGCATGCCCAACGACCATTAACATTCAGAATGAAGTTGTTACAATTCACAGATCACAGAAGTGTCAAAAATGCTGTCTCTCTACATGTAGATATCTTTCATGGCTAATTGTTTCATTAAAAAACAGACAAAACAATCCTCCTTGCACTTACAGCACAACAGACACAAACTTTCACTAGATCAAGCAGGACTTCATAGATTAGATGTGGATTCTGTTAACTCTGGTAGCAAATTATTTTGCATATTTATGTATCTCTGCAAGTGAAACCAAACTTCATCAGAAAAGTTTGTCAATTGTGGATTTATCTCACCTTTGATGACAGACCATAGAAACCAACTCCAAAAATGAACCCTGCTAGCTGGATCACGAGGCTGCAAGGTGTGGGTTATTGTTGTTTTATAAGGTCTAAGCTTCAGCAGTTGTGTTGCTGTTCTTGCACTAATTTCTCCTCAGTAAGCATTCAGCACTTATGTTTTCATTTCTTGACTATTAAGATTCCTGTTGTTCTAAGTTTATTCACCAAATTGTGACTTGTGTGTCTGCTGGGAACTCTTTCATCACAAAATTTGTTGAAATTTTTATCGACACTTTGTAGCAGGTGTGTATTTCACATAGGTGTCATACAGAAATACATACTTGGCGAAGAGTACGATTTGTGAAGCTCCTCATTATGCAGTTTTCCCCACCCTATTATTTCACCCCTTTTCAATCCAGATATTCTCCTCAGTGCCCTGCTCTCAAACATACTCATTCTGTCTTCCCTTAATGCCAGAAACCAAGTTTCACACCCATACAAAACTACAGGCAAAATTATAGTTCTGTATATTTTAACTTGTACATTTTTGACACCAGATAGAAAGAGAATAGGTTCTGGCCTATAGGGTAGCAAGCATTTTCCAAATTTCATCTGGTATTAATTTCCTCATGTGTGAAGTACTGATTTCTTACTGTCATTCCAAAAAGTTCTGAGCTTTACCATATTTTGAAAGGATCTACCGGCTGCCTTTATGTTATGATTTTTCCCTGCAATCTAAGGATGAAACATCAGTAGTCACTTTGTTTAATTTCAGACCAACCCCGTTACTAGGCCGCGCCATAGCTCAAGCGGTTAGTCGCTGGGTTCCCACTGCGGCGGCCCAGGTTCGATCCCAGGTCTGGTGAAGTGGGATTTGTGGCGGACAAAGTGGCGCTGGGGAAGGTTTTCTTCGAGTACTTCAGTTTCCCCTGCCAATCTTCATTCCACCAATTGCTCCTCAATCACCCTCACCTATCATCTTGGGCTGGTACAATAGGCCAGAAGTAGCCGCAGTACAAGGGACTTAATCCTACTCCACTAGCAATAAAAAAACTCGTTACTAGCATCAATTCGAGTTTCTATTTTTCTTTATTGTATGTGTGTTATGTCCCAACAGATTCACATTGCCAGTATAGACCAAACACTGATGTACCCCATTGAATTTCAGTCCCATTTGGGTTTCTTTGACCTTCCTAACAGCATCTTCTAAAGCGACTGTGATAAAGCATCTCCTTCTTTTAGATTATTTTGAACAGGAAACATATCAGATAAATATTTACCTATACAGACTATATTGTAGGTTTCATTTAAACGCATTGTAATCAACCTAACTTGTTTCATGGGTACCCCAAATGCCGTAAGTATATTGCACAATACTTCCAGCCTAATTGGATCATAGGCTTCTTGAAGTCTTTGAATAGCTGATGTACAGTCTCATAATGGATGTGAGTGTAACTCAGTCAATAGAGTGATGGGCTATAGGGTGGATGGTTGGGGTTAGATTCCCGACAGGTTTAAACTGTTTCTCTTCTCCATAATATCCAGACCAGCTCTATGGCCCACAGAGCCTCTTGTCCAGTGGATACTGGGAGTTCTTTCCCTGGGGGTAAAGCATCCAGGATGTGAAGCTGACCGCTCACCTCCATCTAGTGCCAAGGTGAAGAATGGATATGGAATAAGTAACTGAAAATCTGGTATCTATTCATATTCCAGTTCAGTAATGAATTGAATTGAATTGAATTTATTTACATTCTATAAATCCTAAGCAGGTTAGTACCTTTGGATACAGAACAAGTCAAAAGGTTACATACATAA